CTAGACAGGTTGGAAACCAAAAAAATGCCACCGTGCTAACATTAGCTTTAGCTGCCACCGTGCTAACTGACTACACAACCAAAAAAAAAAACAACTTCACCTTATCTAGCCTAACAGTGTAGTAGGAAGACATTAATCCATAACTGAATTGAGTTGGTTTAATGTTAAACTACCGGTATGCTGGCCATAATGGCATTGAATATACATTCATTTATAGTTGACTGCGCAATGAAAATCACCGGCTCACGTCACAACATAATATGGAGTCAGAGTATGCCTGTGTTCTGTTTGGTTTAAAAATAATATGGGAGGCTGTTATTTTCAAATATTTGTGCATGTTTATTTTAGCTTATTTAATTCTGCTGCAATTATTCTTGAGGTTTATTCCGCTGAGGACTCTTATTCTGAAGGGCGGGCAGAGGCACTGCCGAGGCTAGAGAGAGTTAGAGCCAGCTAACAGTAAGAGCCGTGAGCCGGCACTGGACTGCGTTTTCCCCTTTCGTTTTGTACGCTGTTCCTGAGTAAGTCCAGTAAAGCAGTGTTATGGACCAGAACCTCGACTTACCTACGTTTTTTGTAAAAACCCCACATTTTACAATAATGTTTAAAAGTTTGAAGTTTGAGTGATGTAGTTACAACGCTGTCTTAAAACTGAATTTTAATCCTTTTAAAGCAGTATCTGATTTAATATTATGCTACGGTGGCAAAAACTCCACTCCTAGCTGTTCATATTAGCTATGCTAGTTAACTGGTGAAAATTAACCTTAACAGTCATTGAGCTGAGAAATTTGTCTGCTTTTGAAAGAATAGAGAAAGAGAAATATTCTTACTTCTGTGCTTCTTGTGCAACAACTGGTTCAATTTAATGAATTAATTTATAGTAATAGTAATTTTAAGCCATTTTCTTGTTGTTTATTAAATATGAATACAAAAACTAATGGACAGTTTTGTTTGTTTTAGGCTTGTTGTTGGCTGTATATGATCCTTGCTGCTGTAAAGCAGAATGTCTTTCAGCTTCTAAGGGTTGAAAAATGATTGAGGTAGCGTTGACGTTCTGTTGAATTTTGTTAAACCTTCAATGTTTTGAGTCAATGAGTCATGTGGCACTATATCTTATATTTGAATGAGACTTGAATGGGAAAGAATGGATTTGTAGACGGAGCATGGTCAAATTGTGGGTGGAGCACAGGTCAGTCGGCCTTGCAGTTTGACTGTAAAGGATGGCTTAATTTCTCACTACATGTCACAGAAAGATAAGAAACAAATCCACTTGGTTCCCTACTGTGGCCAACTTTCCAAACACTCAACACCAGTCTCTCTTTCTGTTTTTCTTTTTGGTTCGAGACACCTCAGTCTCAACAAGTTTAAAGCTTTTTGGGTTCAGTTTTAAATGACACAGAGCAAAAGAAAGCAAATGTTAAAGCAATGGTTTATCCTTAATTCATTTTAGCCCTTAAATTCTAGTTCTCTACTTTTTTTTCTAATTTTTCTAGCCAGTGGGTCAGAAAGCCAAAAAGGGGTGCAACAATGTTTGTGAAATGTACTACTTATTCTATTGTTTCTTCATTTTGGAACAGATGTTGTGATGAGAATATTCTCAAATACACTCCAGTGTTCCTGTTCCTTTTTTTTTCCCTCAAAATTCCTTTGACCCACTGTTTTTTTTCAGGTTCCTAACATTTCCACGTGCTCTTTCCACTTCTTATAAAAATTACAAAAGAAGAGAAATAAAATATAAACAAAAATAATAGAAATAAAAACAATAATAATAACAATAATTATAATATTAACAGTAAAATCATTTTTAAAAAATGAAAATAAAAATGGTTTCTGACATTTTTCATTGAATGTGGAAAAAGGGTAGAAAAGAAAGTTCTACAAAAAGAACCAACAAACACTGTTTCCATTTCAAATCTATGGTCTAACACTGGACAAACCCTTCTATACAGATACAAGTCTCCCTACAAAAATGTTTTTTTTTTTTCTTTTGGCATCACATCTGCTTCACGTCTTTCATTCAGCAAAGGAAACAAGGGCAGGAATAAAGTCTGTGGAAGACTGTTAAAGCTGCAGACATCTTGGTTAAACCTTTAACATTCATTGGGGATGTACGGGCAACCCTGGAGCACAGCAGGGCATCTTTAGGAAAGCAGGTCTATTTCCTTCAACTGGTGCTAAAGACTTAGCAAGTGTTAGTCATATATTCCAGGATCAAAATCTGGGCTGACCTTACAGAGTTTACCAACTTGTAAGGCTCTACAAAAGATATCAAGTCGCTTTCCTGATACTTCACCATAAAACAGTCAAGTTCTTTGGTTCCATTTGTGAGTTACTGTAAAAAAGGTATTTCCCTTGAATCTGTTTTGTAAGGTAATCTTAGGAAATATGACCACTACTAGCCCAGGGTTTAACCAACTGTTACCCAATCACAGAGCACACACTTATATATACATACATACATATTACACACCACCATACATGCATAATGTACATACATGTATGTTTCTGTGCTTTGGTTAAGGGAGTGTTACAAAAGATAAAGACTATGAATGTTAAAATAGTTACAAGGTATTTGGTTACATTATTATTAGTCTACGTATTTGGCAATTTCAACTCTATCACAATAAGAGGACACAACTGGCACCTCTCTGGTATCAACATAGAAAATCTCAGTGAAAATATATCCCATTTTCATTTTGGTTATTCTTTGAAAGTTAACAAAATGTGACAGCTCCACGTCAACAGAAGGAAGTCAGAATGAGGACATCAATAGGCAACTGACGTAATGTCAATCAAGGCTTTTTCAGGCACCCTCATTTAAAGGCAGCAAATCGGTATGAAGCTTTTGGTTTACTTCACTCAGAGCACTTTTCATCATGACTTACTCTTGTAACAGGAACTAGAAAAACTTCAACACAATGGCGTAGGTTTATCTCTTAAAAGAAGGTTTTGGATGAGAAAAAGAACAAAAACCATTTTAATTTTTACATCTTTGGGTCTTTATGTCAAAAGCTATTTTTCGGTAGGCTTGGAATGTGGTGCCATGCCCAGAGAGAATCCCGTGGTGCATTCTCTCTCCGTGAGCTCTAAACTCAACCTTTACCTCACAGCACCTGCAAGTTCCGCCTGCAGTCAATTTGGCGTCTGAAGAGCCGACCTACTGGCATGACTTGTTAGGCTTTGGATCAGCGAGCATCCTCCAGTCTCCAAGCAGCGTGCTTCAGAAGACACGTGAGGTCTTCTGAGGTCATGGTTTCATGGGTTTTGGAGGTGAACTCCACAGAAAGGCCAGAACATCTCATTCCCCACAAGGCCCAGGGGAAACTAGGCATTCTTTAAGGTCTATACTTTCCATGAAGCATTCAGCCTCGTCTATTGGAATGAAGCTCTTTGAAACAAGACTCCTGTCTGTGTTTATCTCTTGTCTTTTTCTTTGGAGGTACATAAAACCAGACAGAAGTCCTTCATCAAGTCGTAATTTGGTAGGATCCAGATCGTTGTTAGTGTGAGGTAATTCACACTGGTATGCTTCAGAAATATATAAAAAGCATATTCCACTATCGATATGCTCATCTGTGCTTGCCTGATGCTTCTTCAAAGGATGATGATCCAGTGACATAAATCAACCAAAACCAAGTCGGTTTCTTGTGTTGGTTTAACCACAGCTTTGGTCTACTGAGGCTAAATTTGGGGTGACGGCAGCAGCGCTGATGTGTCGAACCAGGGTCAAACTCTTCATGGAGGTAACTCGATGGGCTCTCCAAGTGCAGGTTTTGCATGTGGCTTGGCACGGGCACTGGCACTGGCTCTGGCTCTGGAGGGGCAACGTGGAGCTCAACAGATGGGGCCCATAAATCAGACTTCTCAGAGTAAGAGTGCTGATTGGATATAAGCTATCTCAGTTCACTCAATCATAAATAACTGATTCTAGGTCAGCACTCTTACCCTGAGATGTCTGATAAATACAACCCAGAATCTTTTTTGTGGCTGAGGTAGGCTTGCTCAAACAGCAGCAGGCTAATGTTAGCAACAATGGCTCAAACATTCTGAGGTAGCTATCTTTGGAGGTATACAGCTTTTGGTGGGTTACTATTGGAGACAGGAAAGGGAAAAGGTTCAGGGAAGGGGTGGAGCTCGATCGCCTTTATGGTTCCTCCAAGTTGGCCTGCCTCGAGGCTAATAAGGTGAAGAGTATAACAATTCATTCAGACTCACACAACCACAAGGCAACGCATATTTCTTGGAATAATCGAGTTAAGGCTAAAGACAGGAACAAAGCTCTGCTCCTTAACCATTCAAACTAAAAAAAAGAATATAGCTAGTCACAGTGTGGCTAGCCTGTTCGGCACTATTTGTGGTTCACTAATTCTAGCAAATCTGTCTGGACCTAAGCTTGGAGGCTCTATTTAGCCAAAGCACATATATTTGGTGTTAATTAGGGCTTTGTTTGTGTAGTGCAGGACTAGAATGTCTTATTACCAGAGGACACCATTGCTAGAAGAAACTTTTGGTATAAGCAGAAAGTCCCCTGATATTAAAACATAATTAGAATTTGGTTCTGTTTTGCTTTGGTGCCATACTTCCTCTGACACACAGAAGTGAAGTAAAACTCTCAGAAATGGACTCTGTGACAATGTAATGTGGTGTGCACTACCTTCCAGAACTATTATTTGGTGGTCCTGTGTGTAAACCTTAGCACACAGATCATAAAGGCATTAAGCTTTGGTCCAAAAGGAAGGAATAGAAGAAAGAGTGTGTTTTCCTATAAGTTAGAATTCATATAAGTGCAGAATAATCATCTACCACTACTGTTAGTGAATGCTTTGAGGCCCATGGAAAGGCCAGGGAAGCCCTTACTCATCAATAGCAGCAGATTTATGTTGTAGTTTTTAGATAAACTAGACATCAAAGGGAAGGGTTTGAAGGGGGCTTTGGTGGGCAGGCCAAGTAGAGAAACCACAAGGAGGTGGAGAGTTGGTGTAATGAGCTTTGAGTCAGTGCTAGCCAGTGCCCGCACCTGTGCCAGGCAGGCTGGCTGAGTGCTGCTCTATGAGGACCTGGCACTGCGCAGGGTGAGCCTGGTTTTGACCCTGTAGAAAGAGAGCAGAGGTGAAAATCAGTGGGAGTCAGTTGGAGCAATCAATCACTTGATTGTCTGATCAGCAATCCTTTACCCTCACAGCCTGTGACCTTGTTTCAGTGTAATTCTCACAGGCTGTGATCCATCACCGTGGCAAGCACTTTACTAAACCCTGTGCAAATCTCATTACTGGTAGATAGGAGCCTTCTGAAACAGAATCAAGCAAGGATGACTCGTCAGAATCTTAAGATTAAAAACGTTTGTTCTGCTAACCCTCCACATATGCTCTAGAAATAGATACAAAAAGTGATTTAAAGGACCCATATTATGGATGAATTTTCCTTGCAATTCTAAAATAAAAGCGTACGATGTAGTGTGTACATGTTCGAAATGTACTTCCTAGTCCATACAGTCCATGTATGCACACTAAGCTGCAAATAAAATAGCCTGTTCGTAATACATTTTTTTGGTCACAAAAACCAAAGCATTTATGCACATCTGCCAATTCAGCCAATACCACTTCAGCTTCACGCTGAAGTTATAAGGAGTGTTTCAGCCTGGACTGCTTTTTGAATGAAGCACAATACAGTTCAGCCAATCAGAGCAGAGTTCATTTACATATATCAATCTTAAAGGTGCGGTAACAAAACAGCATGGTAAATTGTAAAGGGAAAAGAGAGGAAAAAAATAAAACATATGGAAAGTAGGATATGAGCCCTTTCATAAGGTAATAAGATACAAGCACATTGCTGTTGTAACAAATCTCGTATCTCTTTAATGGTCAGATTACAGGAGAAGGAAAAAAGTGTTTATGTAAATTTCACATACTTTTTATACAAGTAATTACTGACTCCAAGCTATATTGCACCGTTTCTATTAGTCCTCCATTTTTCCATAGCCATTATCCAAACTCTATTTATCCCTTACAATAAAACAGTCCATTTTAAGATTGGTATATGTAAATTACTGATTTTCTGATTGGCTGCTCTGTATTGTGCTTCATTCTAAAATGGGTCAAGCCTTAAACAATAACCTAAAAAACAGGGTGTTTTTGCTGCTTTTTTCCATATATGAGCTGTATGGACTGGAGACTGGACAGTATGTTTTGAAACAGTGTTTAAATATCACATCAAAGTATTTATTTTTAAAAAGTTAGGAAAGTTTGGTTTTGAATCATATGGGCCCTTTACCTAATGTAAAAAAATGTTTTTTTTCCTCTAACACGATAGCATCTTGGGGCCGATCTTTGTATCTGAGGCCTACCTGAGACACTAGTTCGATGGCTTGGGCTGGGAGCGCCACTCCATGTTTGGGAATGCCATTGCTCTGAGCATGGTGTCCTCCATCCTCTTCTCTAGGTACAGACCAGCTGTCCTGAGTGCCCTTCCTGCAGAGGAAACTAAAAACAGCATTCCAATAATCAGATTAAGAATCTAATACAGTAACACATTTTTACCCTTACAAGTCATTTTTAAGAGTAGTCAAGTTATTGCTGGTGATAAAAGCCTGGTGTAATTCAATATGAATTATTTCATACGTCACTGAGAAATTCTGTTGAAAGTGTGGATTCTACACTGTCAATTCATAGAACATTTGTGCTTGTAAGTAGAAGAGGAAATATTTTATTATGATTTGAATTTAATGAATTGTTGTATGTAAACAGAATGTAAATAGGATGTTATTAACTCACTATGTAATTATTTATGTAGTTACTGAATTACATTTGAATCATACTGCAAAAGAAAAGTAATAACTCTTGACTTCAAAGATTTAATTTGTTTCAAACAGCATGAATATGCTTCAAATTTCCCACATTAAAAAATCATGCATTATGTTTCTCAGAAATCAGCTCACCTGCGGCGGTATCCAAACATGAGGAACAGCACACAGAAGATGATGCAGGCCATGCCGATGTGGACTCCGACCACTATACCCCCCAACGAACCCTCACTGTCCCTGCAGTTACACTGGCTCTCCTCTGCAGAGACAAAGAACAACATAGGGTCAACACAGACAATCTGCAATTTCCAAGACATACAAAAATCAAATATCACATTTATGATTTTTAAGCCAAAGCAAACATTTGAGTTCCCTCTAAATCAATAGTTATTGCACCTGCTCTGGTTTTAGCAGTGGTTCCATCCTCTGCCAGTGACACCAGTCTCTTGGAGCAGTCACTCTCTCCGTTTCCATTGTAGGCCACGAGTTTGACTTCATACACAGCACCAGGATCTAAGATGGCATTACAAACACATTCATCAAAAGTTCTATGATCATTCATTCACCTCAGACATGCCAGATCTCTCTGATAGATGTTTATTTAACAGGAAGACTATTGATCAGATCTTGAGCGTTGCTCAAGGTTGAACGCCTCTTGGCTCTCTGGCTGCTTAGCCCTCTATTAATTTCATATCACAGACCTGTTTGCATTGTACATGTTTTTACATCTGTACTTTCTTTTTTGATCAAAATTTAATGCTCTTTCTTTTTTTAACTGCTTTTCTTGAAAGCATTCTTTGCATATTACTGTAGCTCGTAGGAATATAGTGCAGTGCTCGACTAAGTATCTTCCCTGGTGATGCTCTTGCAGACATGTAATATAACCATTTTCAGCTCCTGCTTGTTTTGGTGACTTTTTGCTTTCAGTCCTTCTCCACACATCTGGTACAGGTTAATCTCCATGTCGTCTGTCTTTAGGACATACCTGAACTATTTAGACTTTTTATGCACTTTTTAGCAAACTGAAACTAAACCTTTTTGTTCTTAAGGCTTACCAGTGGTTTGTACCTTGTGCTAAACCCTGTGAGGTCATGCTGTTGTATTCTTCACTACACTGAAGGTTCTGTCACGTTTGGATAGTGAGTTCAACAGTTGTTCTTCAGTATTCAAACCATTCTTTGGTCATGTACTATGGTGGTCTTCTGTGTTCTTGCAGCCAAGAAGCAACTAAGCACTCAATCCTCTAGTTACATTTGATTGATAAAAATAGGAGGTTTGTGTATAACATAGTATGGTGGCTGGCAGGACTTAATGCACTGTAAAGTGAAAACAAGCTGTAAACACAGAAAACACTTTCATCAAAATAACAAAATAACATTGTGCTGCATTTTACAAAAGCTCTACAAAATAATAGAACACACTGCAAATTAGATTCTTTGCAAACCTTTAAATTCTATGCAGCATAAGCATCCACCATCCATTTATATGAGCAGATAACTAATATAACTGTATCGTAATGGGAATTAGCTGTAGAGCGTAACTGTTACATATCACATAGCAATGCCAGATATGACTGAGAAATACTGTAGTACAGCTATGAGAGTCTTTAAAAGTCTTCCAGAATCCCACTGTGTTGTGGCTCACTTCCATTGTGTTGTGACTGGCTTTGCAGTGTTTCTGAGGTTGCATACATTTTCTGAGTTTACTCCAATACCTAAACCTAAACATAATCTCAGGCCTAACCCTAATGCTATTGCTAATCAGTTTCAGCAGACTGTAAACAACTTGGGTATGTGGAGATAATATAATATATAATAAAATCAATAAGATCAAACATTTTTCAGTTTTTAAAGAAATGGTGTCTCATTGTATGCATTTACTGTTAACACACTCATTTTTGCTACTCAAGAGCGACGACAGAACACATCTCTAATTTCAAATTTAAGACTGTGTCATGCTGGAATGATGACTGATTATAGTAATACAACTCAAGGGTGGAAGAACAGGTCAATCATATTGCTATTGCTGTGCTGGCTCAGAGTTTGAAATAATTCATATACTGCACATATTTCCAAAACTATTAAAGAGAAAAGTACACATACATGTGCACTCACTCCACTAAACACTAAGGTGAATGCACACACACACACACACACACACACACACACACACACTTACCAAGATGTGCAATCGTGTGGGCATTAGTGTGGCAGGACATCTGAAGTGGACCCTGGAACTCTCCATGGGGGACCCTGCGGTATGACAGCCTGAAGCCCTCGACTTTGCCCGGCTTGTTGGGCAGCTCCCACAGGACTTGTACTGATGTAACATTCACCACTTTAGTGAAAAACGCAGGTGGTGTGGGAACTAGGGTGGGCAAACCGAGAGATTAATATTATTATTAATATTTCCATTATTATTATACAGCAGAGATACAGGGCTTTGCCCAAGGTCATGCTGGCTGAGGAGAGCATAAAGGTGGGTGGACAGTGCAGAGGCTAGCATGAGACAGATGTTCAAACATCTGGAAGGGCAGAAGATCATATTAGAGTCAGGAACAGAACTTAGCAAGACTGAAGGACAGAGAGAGGAGAGAGGAAAGTATACTGTACATTATATCTACACTTCTGGATGAGTGACTATTTGACCTATAGCAAAAAGTATGTGGACACCCCTCCTATTTATTGAATTCAGGTGTTTCAACCACACCCATTGCTAACAGGTGGAAAAAATTAAGCACATAGCCTTGCAATCGCAAAAGACACACATTGGAAATGTTCTATGGAGAGATGAATCATGCTTTACTATCTAACAGTCTAATGGACGGATCTAAATTTGGCAGATGCCAGGAGAACACTACGTGCAGGAATGCATAGTGTCAATAATAAAGTTTGGTGGTGGAAGAAAAATGGTCTGGGGCTGTTTTTCAGGGCTCAGACCCTTAGCTTAAGTTGTTAATGTTATAACATACAAAGACATTTTAGACAACTATATGCTTCCAACTTTGTGGCAACAATTTAGAGAAGGCCCTTTCCTGTTCCAGCAGTTGTGCTCTTTTGACTGAATAGGTAAAATTCCCTCAGACACACTCTAAAACATTGCAGAAAGCCTTCCCGGAAGAGTAGAGGCTGTTATACCCTCAACAGGGGTGGTCAACTCCATATTAATTCCCATGGTTTTGGGCTGTCCAACAAGCTCATATAGGTGCGACATATAGGTGTCCACATACTTTTGGCCACATAGTGTACATAGACACAAAGAAAGAAAGAAAGAATGAAAGAAAGAAAGATTCTAAAGTGATTAAGAGAACTATATAGCCTCAAGAATTAAATAAATAACATTAACAAAATAAAATGAATATGAAGATTGTTTTATATTTCAAAAGTGGTGATTGAACTGGAGGCATATAGAAAATGTACTGTTATTAGGTAATTACAGTATCTATTTTGTCATTTAATGATCAAATGAAATGTGTAAAAATCTGTTTTGCTGTCTAGTTTATAATAATTAAATATACAATGTATAAACGTCTTGTTACTATAACAAGCAATTACAGACCTTTGAATGGTAGTGTATGCAAACTGTGTATGGACTGAGCATGCTGAGAGAATAACTGGGGCAAGACAGTGGCCTAATAACAAGCAATAAACAATCTCAGCAAAAGCAGTACCATCATTCAGCCACTACACAGACACATACCGCCCCCTTGTGTTGTAGCAACGACAGTGCTGGACTCCTGACTAGCCCCCAGCGGTGAGTAGGCCTTCAGGTAGATGGAGTAGGTGGTGGCAGGCTCGAGGTTGGTAAGGTCATGCTGATAGGTGGTCTTGCTGACAGCTTCTTGTAGCTCTTTGCTGTCTGGCTCTGTAATCAATGTTCAGTCAAATACATATTAAAAGGGAATTCCACTACTTACTTTCACATTTCTTAAAAACGTAAGATGTAAACAAAGTTACACCGAGTGGTTTGATGTGAAATGTTCCATTCTAGAGAAACTTCTAGAGTCTAAGAACCAGATCTCAAAAGTATTTAATTCCTCACAGAAAGTTATTGTATGAAATGACTACAAATACTCTGCCTGATGCCTGAGACATTGTGTACCGCTAGTTTAACAAAGTGATTTTTGGCTAAAATATATTTTTAAATGTATTTATGGTGGAGTGGTACATGCAGGACGTGGTAAGGCAAAAAAGTCCCCAAAGAAAACCTTTTTTCAGATCCCTGCTAGAAAAACCAGCTTAGACCAGCATGACTCATCACCACCAAAATCAGCATATGTTGTGTTTTGGATACTGGTATGCTGGTCAGCAGAAATGGAAGTTGAAGAGCTGATCACTACATAAACCAACATATGTTGTGTTTTGATGCTGGTATGCTGATCAACCAGCATGACCATGCTGGGGTGACCAGCTAAACCAGAACCAGACCAGCATAAACCAGCATAGACCAGCTTAGACCAGCATGAAATACTTGCTGATCTTTGCTGTTTTTTTCAGCAAGGATTTCACACTATTTTACCATTATCAGCATTATAAAACTCAGAAGGCACATGTAGGTTTACAGGTCCTTTTGAATAGTAGACATTGCAACATCTGGTTCCTACCACTGTTGTACAAACTTTTGATGGAAGTAGTGGTATCAAACAACAGTTGGCAATGTGTAAGATATTACATGATGTTTTAAACATTAGAAATTGGACAGTAGACAGAAATAAAGTTACTCACCCCCAATTTTGCGAATATGCAGCACGTATCCAATGATGCTGTCAGTGACCTCTGTCGGAGGCTGGACCCAGGAGAGCTGCAGGGTAGTTTTGGACAGAGCTGTGGCCTTCAGGCCCTGAGGAGAGTCGGGCAGCTCCTTGGCCAGAGATACAGCCAGACGAGCACTTGCCTGGTTGGTTCCTGCACTGTTCTCAGCTATGCACTGATAGATGGCCTCATCTTCAGGCGTGATGCGAGTAACTGCTAGGGTACTGAAAATGAGAATGAAAAATAATTATAGCATAGATAGTACAAAAAAGGATAATTCAGTGTAAAATGTTGTAATCTTAAAAATAAATTATTATAAAATCACTGACAAACATATCATATGGATAATGGATAACTTTAATATAAACTTCAACAAGACATTTTTCACTCAGTTACTCACACGCTAGGGTCAAATACATAAAGCAAGTGGAGAGTGCCATCTTGTGGTAAAACTTGGGAATTGCAATGCAGTCATGGGGAAAATTACTGCTATTGGCTGTTATGCAATTAAATAGACAACCAACCACCATATAATTCTTACATCATTAACTAAACTTTATGTAATTTATCCCCTGACAAAAATAGATGTCAGAACTTAAAACCATTTCTATGTGCATGTCGTTGGGCACTAAGAATGAGCCTGTGCGCACCTGTTGTTGTTGGTGAGTTTAACGTTATCTCCAGGTGTGAGGACCTTGCCGTTCCTCAGCCAGATGAGGTGAGGTTCAGGAACTCCTTGAGCTACACAGGTGAACACAGCACTGCCCCCTGCAGGTTTAGACACAGACTGCGGCCACTGGAGGAACTCTGGAGGAGCTGTGCAGAGAAGCAGGTGGCAGGAAGTGTGAATGAGGTGAAACAAGAAAATGTTGTAGATTTAAATGCAAGGAAACATTAAGGAGAAACATAAAAAGAAGAAGAGCACTGATTAGAACATAAATTCAGTAGACTGAAGAGGGAGATTCTGCATAGAGAGAAGATACGGATCTAAATCACCCTTATCTGCTTATCTACACCAGCTTTGAGAGAGGATTCAACACTGAAAGCACAGAGAATGATGGTGTTATATTTAAGATTTCAACAGATTTCAAAGCCAATAAACATGCCAGAGAAAACCAGAGAAGCTCAAAGAGCATTTTATCTTGAACTTAGCTACTCTGTCTTGATCTTGACCTTAAACTCATATTATCTAAACTTGATCTCTCTCACTGAGTGACCCCTATGGACCCTTCCACTGCACAGTAGGACAGATGCGGGTTTGTCGTTCCACATGACACCTCTTCAACGGCCTCACAATGGCCGTGCATATATGTAGAGCTCTCCAGACCCCTGCACCATGCATCTCATTGATCTATTGACACCAGCTATAACTAACCCCCCACCAGACCCCCCCAAACCCCCCAGAGAAGAACCTCTACACGCCTGAGAAGAGGGTCTGGAGGGGATCCAGGGAGGTGTGAAAGGTCAGGGGTCAAAGGGAAGCCTATTTCTATAGAGAACCATTCATCAATGTGGGCACAGATCCTTAGGCCAGCATAGATTTCTTCACCATGGGGCCCCAGTTTGTGATAACAAATATAGATCAGAATGGACCCTAAATACTCTTCTAATCTTACAAATACTCTGAAGAAAAAGGATTTTAGAAAATTTAATATGGTAAAACACACTCATCTAAAAATCAAGATTTTAATGAGAAAGTAGGGTGGGCTGCCAGATCTAATAAAAAGAAACTCATTTATCAGACAGTGGGGTGCAAAATCTGAGACCACTAGTGAAAATGCTTCTATGTTGTATTCTTTTCTAATTTAATGCAACATTTGTCATAGTTAATTATATTATAAGCATATTCAGAAATTTTTCAAATTCAGAAATTTGTAGTATTTGATATCTGAACATATATATATATAGATAGATAGACAGACATATAGATAGATAGCCAACCATATTTTAAGCTATTTGGAGTAGAGGCTTTGGGTGATATTGTGAGGGGTGGGCAGTGGGGTATGTATGATGAGACTATTGTGGGTCAGAATAGAATAGGTTACTCCAGACAAAACCCTGTGAGTTAGAAGAGGGTGCTGTTAATCCACCAAATCACACTTTCCTCCATATCCTAGAAGAATGCTTCACACTCTTTCTTCAGTGAAAATTAGAAACACAGAAAGATCTCTGAGAGGGTGTGAATTGATGCTGGTCTCTAAGAGGTCCACAGCTGTCAGATTTTTATATTTTCATTTTTGGGTGTTATTTTACCATTTCTAAACAGAAATACTAAACACAATACAACAGAGCCTTGATGTTCACCAAATGCAAAGTTCATTTGTTCATTACTGTTTCCTTCCTGTCATTAAGAAAAACCTGTTTTAGTGTAAAATCAGTGTAAAAGTGTAAAATGAGGAGAGAGCTGTTAAAGGGGTCTTTGGGGGATTGTTGTCCACTTTTATGGCTGATCAGCTGTCTCTTTACAGCTGAGCCCTAACTGACAGCTCCACACACTCACATCAACCAATCCATAGCGCAGTATTGATCAGTTAACCTGTGAGCACGATCATAGAGCTGACCTTGAGCATGAGCAAGAGGTCATTCTTCATGCATTTCTATGTTTTGTTTTTTAGTCTTATGGCATTAATGAGCATCATTAGCTGTCTAAACATAAGTCTTGTCATAAGAAAAATTTCTCTGACATTTTACAAGAAAAGTCTTCTTAATAAAACATATGTTAAAGAAGCACTCCGGCCAAATGGCTACATCTGATGTACATATGCTTGCTCACATTCTATAGTGGTGCTGCAGTGGTCTCTGTTGTGAAATTCCCCAGTTTTAAGGCTTGGAAAACCCTGTTGTGATGATGTATCTTGACGGTAGAAGATAATTTTGAAAAACTAGAAGGGCTTTGCTTGTTTGATTTTTCTCCCACTAACATGCTAATTCAGAGGAAAGCCAGATAGCTAAGGTTACCGCTTCAAAGTTCAACATCATGTCTGTATTTTTTAGCCTCTACATAAGTGGCAATGCTAGCAGTCAGGATTTGTTTATAGTTAAATGATGGATTGGCACAATGCATGCTGAGTATTGTAGTGAGAGAATGCTAGTAAACAAAAATTCAAAAAGCAACAGAAAATTGTAAACTGAAAATGAGTGATGCAATACTGTGCTACAGAATATTACAAAACATGTCAAATTAAATTTTTAGTGTTTGTTTTATGCCAAAATTGAATGTAATGTGATAGGTTATATAGGTTCATTGTAAGAAAGTGACTGTATGTTTTGAAGGAAAAAACATAGTTAACGCTTTTCAAAGTTGTATTGGCCAAGAAGTGTTCACAAAATGTAAAGAGTTGTTGGTATTTTCAAATGAAGAAAAACATCACATAATAAATTACAAAAATGAAACTAAGTTATGAGTTTTTTACAGTGACAACTGTATAACTGCTTCACATTGAACAAATGCATGAAAAACAGAACTGCATAAGACTGGAGTAAATATTTGAAGTTATGGCTAGAGAACTCTATTGCACTGGACACTTGTATGTCATATTTAAGTTTTTGTGTCAGGTACTGACACTCAAGACATAATGCTATAAATGACAATATTGGTCAGAGAAATTTTCCCCCTGACTATGGGAAAACCCCACTGGTGATATGGCAGCTGTTGGATCTGCATTTTAAAGCCCTTCAATGATTCCTCTATCATTTTTCATATGAGAATTTACACCCCAAATAAGCAGAGATAAAGGAGTGAATGAACACAAAGCCACATGCTCCCCGCCTTGAACTTCGTCTCCCTATGCCTGACCACCAGCTGTGACGAGAACAACTGACCCCTCCACTGTGGTGTAAAATGTGGGGGCAGGGGTGTGAAGGGTTGGGGGTGCATGGACTGGACTGTCACCCTTTCTCATTTGGGAGTCATAAATTCTGCCTGACTCCGCCCTTCATCTGCTGTCTGTCAGGCCAGACTCCGCCCTCCCCTGCCTCGCTTCGACTGCTCTCCTCAGCAGCCGCTGGGACAATGTCAAAGGTGAGAAATGACAGGTCAGAGGCCAGAGGTAGTTGTTTGTTGCACTAAAAACACAAAAACACGTTTCTGTTCTGACTGTCTACATCTCTTCCCTTCCTTCAGCTTCTGTTTGGATCAAAACTCCTGACTGGGTCAAGTACAGAGAGGAGTGTTAGAGCAAAGTCTGTGTGAAAAAGCAGCTCTCTCTGACCCTCACACACACACACACACACACACACACACACACACACACACACACACACACACATACACATACTGAAAATCACGCTACACATTAACTACAGCGTGAGGTTTAAACTTGACTGGGTCTATTACAGTATAAGATAACAGTAACACTATTTTAAGGAACATGTATTGAGGATTATTAAGGTCTTTTTCATCGTTCAATAAGGCCAAAATTAGGCTCTGTGTACTACGCATTAAGCTTAATTCATAATGACCTGTACTAGCATGTAATTGGAGGTATGTTCTGTGGAAAGCTCTAATTACAATATTATTAGTTGTAATAATGCAAAATAAACACTTGCCAGTTACTGAGTACAAACTAATCATCTAAACCGACATATTATTGTGTATAATTGGGAACATTTTATTCTCATAGGTTCAAAGTAATGTTGCTTCTAGAGTTCATTACAGTAGAGCTAATATGAGTTCGATAAGTCATTAATATTTCAAGATGTGTTTCGTATTCTAATGTAGATTATTAGTCAACACTGATTAGAAGCGAAAAAGTTTTCAATAAGTTAATTTGCATCACATATTTTAAAGTAAAGATCAATTTCATGCTTTTTTGGTTGTAAAAAACAAACTTTTTAAGTTAGTTTCAACTCTTATTATCAATAATATTTCATTTATATTTTAAAAACACTTAATATTTAATTATTTATCAAATACTGTTGTATGTTAAACATTGTATTTTGTTGCTTTTTAATAAAAGCTAAAATCTACTGTAATGCACAGCCTCGAGGGGCTTGTTTTTTTATAGACTCATTTGAAATATCTACAGTAAGTGGGCTTAAAAGTGTGTTTACAAGTTACTAAACAAATGATAATAACAGAATTACTCCTAAGTATGTCCTGTGCAAAGCCAAGTTCAGGTCATCATAGAAATACTGAAATGCAATATCTTTGGATGCTGAATCTTGTGAATATTCTCCTGTGCTGCACTGGACTTTCTGTTTTCTTCCAGATGGCTGGATTTAACACAGTATCTGAGGCTTTAGGAATGGCTTAGGATTGGATGTTTCCAATTTTGGCGGAAACTCATAAGCTCTTTGTTCTTCTGTTACCCCAGAAGTGAATCAATAAATTAATGAATATATTAAAGATTACTCCCCAATGACTGCATTGCCAAAGCTCTTGGAAAAGACTGATAGGGGGAAGTATTGATTGATCAGGTCAACAATGGACACTTGGGATATAGATGGGAGAAAATACAGCTGGGTGAAGGTTTTAACGGATAGAAAGAAGCATGAGGATAATTTTAGTCCTGCTTTAAGTGTTGTGAGACCCCACCAGACAATAATTAGAGTCAAATACGGCTCTGTCTCTTGTTATAAACTGTCAAAAGAATGGATTCTATTGCAATGCTTGAGTTTTTGTCACTGTGGTACTGGCTATTGCAGTCTATGTGCTGTTTGTGAATTTTAAGGAGGCTTATTTTCTTTCCAAAACTGCAGCTCTGAATCTGAATCTCACTGTTAACAAATTATAGAATTGTACCTTAATTTGAAGCAATATGTGTCTTCTTTTCGGGTACGAAATATAGTAGTTTATAACTACTTCTCACTAACAAAATAACACATAACAGTCCATGTTCTATGACCATTAATGGCCATGTTGTGGTACTTACTGACACATTGTCAGGCTGCCCTGAAGATATCCAATTAGAGGAGGTAATGCCATAGAGAAATACGAGCAGGCTAAGCATATAGACAGGAGCAAAGTGATGGATGAGCTATGTCACCAAGAGGCAAGGAGGGGGGAGGCTCCTAATGGCAGACTCCATTACCCACGCTGCACCCCTCCACCCTCAAGTCCAGCTGGACAGTACCATCAGCGCTTAATTACCAAAAATGCTAGTCAAGGGTCTCACACCATTGGTGTAAAGGAGGAGGAAGGAAGACCCCCTCCCCTTGTGGCAAGGGGCAAAGGTGAGAGAGAGAGAGAGCCTGAATATTGACTTCTCACATGCTCCTGACCAATCAGCTTCCAGCAGTCACGTCCAAATCCAATTCAGGTTGATGTCTGGCCATCACTGCACCCAAAGTGGTCCTACCCTCATTAGCCTTACACACACAAACACACTCTTCTCATTGCCATGTGCATCTGTCTGTGTCATGCTTCACTGCACTGTCAGTAAGTTCTCAGGAAACAGCACTCAGGCTGTGTTGGAGATTCAGAGAGTGACTTCAGCTTCAGGTCAAGATGGAGTGTTGATATGTACACAAACAATACTTTTTAAACACATTACATTACTCAGCTTCTCCACATGGACTCTTAAAAATAAATGTTACTGATGATTTTTGGCTTGGATGTATGCTTGTACGGTTTTATGAAAACCTTATAGGTATATAACCTTTACGTGATATCATTGTTGTCATGTCAAAACCACTTTACATCATTTCAACATGATAGACGCCTTTTGCATTGTATTTCATATATAGCAATTAGTCTAAATCAGTTGGAATAGAATCTTCCAACTAATTACTAATTATTTTCCACTAAACGTTAAGAACGTGTTTTTCTTCTACTGTAAAGTTACCATTTTACAAGAAGAATAGCGTTCATTACAATACTTGCATTTTGTCACCTTTTCTAGTGGAGATTTTGAAATTAGATCTTCTAAAAGGAACACGTTATTGCCTTTTCATCCATCAGAAAATAAATAGCGGCAAATACGACTCTGTCTCTTGTTGTTAACTGTAGAAAGAATGGCTTAGAGGTTTAACATAGAGGTTCTTTAAACATTAAAAAGGTTCGTCACACTCACAAATCTCATTTACAAATAACGGTTCTTTAAAGAAACTTCAATCAAAAGGTTCTTAAGTGGTTCATCAGTGCCAACGCTCTAAAGAACCAGTTCTGCTACACTTAAATACTTAAGAGTGTATCATGCTAAGGGTGATACATTCACCTATGAAATGATGTATCACATCAGTATATTGTCATAACTCACAGCAAAACCTCACATCTCAGATGGCAAATTTATAGAGGAAGCCAAAAAAGTTCTTAACTCTAATACAATTTATGTATTTAGATTTCATTCTAATCATTTTGGATCATTTCTATTATTCCATTAGTTCACACAGTATAAAGGGCAGATATCATGTTCAAATCGTGCAGAAACTAAGGACTATGGACAGTTGTTTTTGATAGTTCCCCACAGATTATCAACAGATGCTAAAATTATTAACAAACTATCTGGTGAAACTTAACACTGTTAATGTTAGGGTTAGGATTAAAGTTAAAGTTCAGTTGAATCGAACAGATATGTAGAATGTTAGTTAAAGGGAATCCCCCTTTTTAAAAAAGAATTATAATATAATAGAATATAAAAGTAATTATATCATTAAGATTTGAACAAAGTCATTCAGAGTGCAGATGTTCCATTGTAGAGAAACTGAGTCAGAATTGACTAAATAATGAGGTAAAAAAAGGCAAAACATCACCCAAAGAAAAGTTTTCTGATTTACTATCTTGCCATTGTCAACATTTACATACAAAACTTATATACATACAACACGTATAGGTCTACTGTTCATTTTGGATATTAAATAAAATGGCTATATTTGCACTACAGAGTTGGTATCTTTTCAATTTCACATCCGACCACTCTGATTGAGTTTGTTTACATCTCAACTACTGAATCTTGCAGATATTTGGAAAAAATGGTGGAATTCCCACTTAGAGACAAGAGGAGCAACTACAAACCAGAGTGAAGCATAATATGATTTAATTTGAGAGGATGTATTGAGGGGGCTTACCTTGCACTACCAGTCTGCCCAGAGCCGTACGCCTCATCCTGGTTCCGGGTCGATTGGCAGCACAAACATACACTCCGGAGTGCTGCAGAGACACGTCGGAGATCATCAGGTTCCCTGTGCCCAGAACCTGAATACCTTCTACACCTATGGATCTCCCATCTGAAAAAAACATACACAAAAACACAGTCAGATTTTGAGCTGTTATAAACAGTAAACAAATAAACCTGATGCATCCATCTAAAGCATCCTTGATCAGTTTGACTGAAACTGTGAGGATACTAACCCAGTCTGCTCCAAGACACAATGGGCCTGGGATTTCCAGTGGCAATGCACTCCAAAATGGCAGTCTGATGGACAGTGATGGTGAGGTTCTGAGGGCCAGATAGAATGACTGGTTCCTTATAAATGCGTGGAGCTCCACCTAACAGAAAATGTAAAAATAAAAGAGATGATGAGTCCGGGACTCAAAGCAATCTGCTGAAACTGAAACTAGCATGACATTTGACATCATGGCATTTCAAATAATAAGCAGCCTTCATAAAATAACAAACATGTCATATCAATTTTATGTCATATAAAGGTTGTATGATTACTGTTCTATGAAGTATACATGCAGCAAACCACAGGTATAGCAGAAACAACAAGAAGTCATAAGCTACTTGTTTTATCCCAAACATGATGTCTCTTAAAGTAGTAGTCACTGACCAGTGACGTTGAGCTGGGCTTCATGGCTGTAGCGAGTGTTAGCAATGTTGATGGCTACACAGCGGTACACTCCAGCATCTGACCGCTTTGTTCCTGTGATCTGCAGGATGCCCATGGGGAGAAGAGTGAACCTGAAAGGGGAAGGAGGGGTTGAATAAGTGATGTGAGTAAAGTTAAGAAATGGCATAATAGGGGATCGATGGGGAGAATATACAAACATAGAAAAATAACTGATATGAGTCTCCATATTACCTGTTATCTGATGTGCTTATGGCCATGCGGTCTTTCTCCCAGGTGATATTAGCCTCTGGAATGCTGTTCACCTGGCACTGGAAACGCGCCACTCCTCCTTCCTCCACTGTCATAGACTCTGGGTGAGTGTGAAACTTAGGAAGGGCTGTGTGGGACAGACAGACAGCAGGTGAGTGCCAATGGAAGGGGTGACAAAAGTAATACTATGATATTTTGTACTTTTAATAGAAATGAAGATACAGAAGCTTAAAGCATCATTACTGCTATCTTATTTAATGCGTCATTGGCAACACATTCAGAGACACCTTAATAAAACCTGCCTCAAGAGTCATGTGCATGTTTATGTCAGCCACAGTAAAATGCATCAGCATTTGGAATTGGAGCTTTCTGTGTACTACTGTGTTTTTTATCACATTGTAAATAAAGCATAATGCTGCTTTTGTTCTCAGATGCTCTTTAACAGTGATTATTCTGACAACAAGATGCAACCTGGAGTGGACTGACATGTTGTGAACAGTTACACATGCCTGCAGAAAGTTACACCAAGCTTTGTGACGGTTTTTATTTTTAAAAGCTATAATGTTCTTTGTTGCTTCATGCTTGATCATTCTTCACATACATGGTAAAGCACTGGTTGTTTGAATGTAGATCATCTAGGAACAGGATGAGGTGCTTAGAGTACAGAGGGTACTCCAAATAATCTGCTCATTTGCATAATCAATAAATGGGTGTCAGGAGTGCCTCCAAATGGGAGAGCATTGCCATGGAAACTTCAGGACAGGGACAATTACATATAGGATCAATCTGGTTTATTGGGCCAAAGGGAGAGTTAAAGGTAAATGAGCAACAAGAGGATATGATCCATATGCATAAAGTAAGTTTTGTTATATCTATTACTATTAAGTTACTATAATCTATGAATTTTATTTAATCCTTTACATATAACAGCATGCAAAGATGCTTACAGTGAATGTCACTGCTAAACAAAACAAGCATCTCCAAAATGGCAACTTTACAGCAGAAGACAAAAACTTTAATGTAGATAAACAGATTTAATTACAAGCCATTTTGGAGCATTTGTGTTGGTCTGTTCATCATGACATTTTCACAAAATGTAAAGGGAAGCTGCTGTGTTTAAATGATGTAGAAAAATAAACTGAAAAATGGAGATACCTTTATTTTTGCAAGAATTATGTAAATACTCTTACTTGTTTTTAAGCATATTGTCATTGTCCTAAATTAATAAATAAATAAATAAATAATGTGTATCTCCATTTTTTTCATGAAATTGTTACAAAATTACTTGGAATAAAATCTCTTTCCACTAACTTGCATTAAAAATGTTTTTGCCCTATCAGCCCTACAATAAATATTTTAACCTTTAAGTTCAGTGAACATCACATATTAAGTTAACACTATGTTATCATATGTGTTACATTGTTAACTTATTTAAAATACAATAACGTTACATTTTTAAAGTAGCCAACCTACTTACTTTTTAAAGTAAGTATATTAGTTTTTTACCATGAGGGGTTAAATGTCCTATGATATCTTTTATAAGTCAAAAATATACACTTATACTAAGTATAATGACAAATGTATTATAATGCTTTCTAAAGTATAAGGACAAATATGAGTTTGTTCTGTATTGTATCATCCCTCTGTGGGTGATCCTGTTCCACTGCACTTACATGCAAGCTGGACGCGAGCCTTGCGGCTGACCAGCATGCCGAAGCGATTCTGGGCAGCACAGTGGTATTCCCCAGCGTCAGTGGCATCTCCGTCTCGTCTTTTCTGGAAGCTGCGGATCAACAGGGTGCCGTTGGACATAATTTTGGCCCGTGTACCAGGTCCTGTGGGCACTGGTTCCCCATTCTTAAGCCACGATACAGTGATGGGACCCTCGCCCTCCACCTTGCAGTCCAGCATGAGGGGTCTCTCCCGCACCGCGATAACATCATTGGGCTCCAGCAGAAAGGCCAGCTCCGAGCCATTACTTACACCTGAACATGAGAGAGGGAGCACTGGTCAGAGCTGAGACAGACAGACTCTCATTGCTAGAATGGGTGAGGTCTGGTTAATGTCATCTGAGGTTCTCCTCTCATCGGTAGAATAGGTGAAGTACTGCTAATGAAATCTGAGGTTCTACTCTCATTGGTAGAATGAGTGTGGTCTTGCCAATTTTATCTGAGGTTCTGCTCTCATTGGTAGAATGGGTGAGATATTGCTAATCTTATCTAAGGTTCTACTCTGATTGGTAGAATGGGTGAGATATTGCTAATCTTATCTAAGGTTCTACTCTGATTGGTAGAATGGGTGAGGTCTTGCAATGTTATCTGAGGTTCTGCTTTCATTGGTAGAATGGATGTGGTCTTTTTAATGTTATCTGAGGTTCTACTCTCACTGGTAGAATGGGTGTGGTCTTGCTAATGTTATCTGAGGTTCTGCTCTTACTGATAGAATAGGTGAGGTCTTGCTAATGTTATTTGAGGTTCTACTCTGATTGGTAGAATGGGTGTGGTCTTAATCATTTATCTGAGGTTCTACTCTCATTGGTAAAATGGGTGAGGTCTTGCTAATGTTATCTGAGGTTCTACTCTCATGAGATGCACATAAACTAGCAATAATCACAAAATGAGGCCAGATTTTAATTTTCTTTTTTATCCTTGTTAATTTTGTTAACTACTAAGTATTGCTTAACTGCTGTGGAAAAACTGGAGTAAAGTACATAAAATGGATCATTGCAAAGTTTTATGCAATTAACTTCTTTTTTCTTCCATTTTTTTCCTGTTACAAAGAAAGGAATGTGTATAAGAGCCCTAAGGTCCTAAGAGTAGACCTTTCAGATTCCAAACTGGACTCAGTATCCCCTTCAACTTTGTTTCACTAAACCAAACCAAGCCATAGCAATAAGGCCAAATGCTTTGTAGCCACTGAGCCAAAAAGGTCTGTCACAAAGGCAGATGTGGGCCCAAAGACTAGTGAAGGTTATGAGGTTATGAGGTCAAGTTAGGGGAGCCACTTTTGAGTAAGCCCACCCTGATGACAAAAGCACTGTGACGACTCCCTTTCCCAACTCTCGGAAAAAAATGCAATCAACCACTAGGAACCATCAGCTCCTCTCTCAGATTGGGCCATCTGCCCCCTACTTATGCAAACCCCCACCCTTCCACACCCCCCACCCAGACCCCACTTTCCATTCACTCTGACTCGGAGGTGACTTTCCCATGCCACTGGCTCACCCTGGTCCTCTCTCAGTGTCAACTCTTACACCACGGCTGTTTCCCCTATTCTTTTTCCTTTTCAGAGGAACGTCCCCAGACTCACGTCAACCCTAATGCCCTAAAATGACCCTGGGAGATAGCCACTGCCTCCTTCCCAGCTGTTGTTGGGGGACAACGTTCAAGAATAAGTCTGCTCTTGAACTTGCACTAGATGAATTAGCAATCTGCCGCATCTGTTATGTGGACACAAGTAACCCCCAAACCAATATGCACTTCACTCACATCATGGCTCTAATGACTGAGACCCTTAAGCTTGCACCTGCTGTAATTCCTGCTCTTAACCACCAGCCTATATTCTGATGCTGAGTCAAGTACACAGCATTTGTCAGCAGCACTTTAGTCTCTTTAAACACATTTTAAGTATTCCATGTCTCTGAAAGTGATCTACTCACCGAGCTCATTAAGCTGCTCTACCATACCATGCATTATACTCCACTTCACCAACATTTAGCCAGATTTACAGAATGATAACACCTTGCATATGATTAAAAATAAAGGTTACTAAATTGTTTTTGGTGTGGAAGCACAGTTCTAGGAAAAAAATTCTCAGGCTTATTATTTGGTAATGGAAAACAATGCAAACTGGCTGAGTTATTCTTAGGTTATAGGAGTGAGGAATGGAAGTTGGGCAATTTAACAGGATAATGGGTATAGAACGTTTACATTATATGGAAGTTCTTGAAATTTGCAAAAACAGGTTCTTTAAAGAAGTGGTTCTTCTGTGGTAATGCTTTCTTCTTGGCACCTTTACTATTAAGAGTGCAGAATCTAGATTTAGGTCTTTTTATGGACAGTTTGGGCAGCACTCAGCCAGAAAACAGTTTCTGACTAAACACCGGCTTTGAAGGGACATCAGTTCTGAGGGGACATCAGGGAATTGTCCCTTCGCTCCTATTGTGATGAGGTGTCTCACTCAGCAGATGTAGAAGGGAGAAACCGGCTCAGCTGTGCAGTGTTTACGAGGGTTTGCTGTCTCCTGACCCTTACTCAGCCCAGCCTTGCCCAGCCCCCCAGTGCTGACCATATAATTCAGGAGACCATGGAGGGGAAGGGAGGTTATGTCAGGAATAAGTTAGTCCTCATAAACATACCACATTGTACTGTGAGAACTATGATGCTAACTCTAAGGACCTTAGAATTAGGGTTTGAAGGAGGTCACATGTTTCATACATCTTTTTCACTCATCTTGATTAATAATATTGTAATAATTGCCTGAATATTCCAAGGAAAATGGGATATCCTCAAAGACAGATGGAATCATTTGGCCATGTGTGAAAGTGATAAGGCTAAGGGGTTCTAGATTATAAGGCCTTTGACGTTGCTGTACATTCTGTACATAGGTTTGCTACCCATCTAGTTTTCACCTTGATATTCTGGTATCTGGCCTATGTGTCCAGGTGTCCATTTTTACCACCTTTCTTGAGTTTTTGCAAAGTTATCCTTAACTGCAAAAAGATCATCTTCATTTCGGATTAAGGTTCCCTTTCCCTATCTTTCACAGACAGGGTCTTTTATTAGCCTATGCTAATAGCTTATGTATCTGAGTATTAGTTCAATTGCATTGTGATTGTTGAGGTTGGGGTCTCCAGAGCAGAAGGAGTGCTCCATCCATCCCTGCCCCTTTGGTTCTGACCCCATCCCTTAAAGGGTCATGAGAGAGTTGGTGACGGCTGGATCAGTGGGATGCAGATTTGTGACGGACTGCCTGTGTCCGGTCACCACGGCCATCTCCATCCCCCTCTCCCCTTCACTCCATTGTCTCCAGTTGGAGTTGGCCCTGAACTTCACAGCTATTGTGGTGGCCAGACCTTGCACTAAGCTTCCCCAGCCCCCAGGCAAAGACTTTGAAAGGGTCTGGACACCCATGATAAGGCAAACATAAGCAAATCCCCTCAATGATTGCAAACCTCTCTTTCTCTGTCTGTGTTTTTGAGAGGCGTTCAAGTAAAAGCGAGCTCATGAGAAGTAAGAATGCTAAAGGAATGATAGAGGCCTTGCCAGTGTTATCTAATGATCTACTCTCATTAGTTCCTAAAAATACTGAGCTTGGTAAGTTTGTGACAGCACTGTTCTTGCTTTTTAATTAAGTTATCTCTATGTCAAGGTAAAGTGGTCTCTATGTCTGAGTGTACATGCATCAAATCAAATCACATGCTGTTTCACAAATCCACATTTTAGATCATTAAGAGGAGGTGAGAACTAGAATACAGGCCTATGCAAAAGTTTGGGCACCCCTGTTTAAATTACACTTTGAAGATTTTCTAAGCGAAAATAAGTACAAATCCTCTACAGAGAACACACCTCAGCACACATTTTATATTTATGCTTTATCTTTTTAAAGATAGCAAACAAATATAAACAGTGCCCAAAAATGTGCAGAAAATGCCACATTTAAGTTTGTTCCCTATAAAGCCCATGTGTCAAACACAAGACCTGCAGGGGACACAATCCTATCTGGCCTGCAGAAGTATTTTAATTTTCTTTTAATTTTAGCCCGTTTCACAATGCGCTACACTACAGTACCCAACATGCACTGCAAAATAATGTGTGCTCTGACTCTCCTACCCCAACAACAGTCTACAGGACAGCGGTTACACCTCAGTTCTACAAAATTCCACACAGTCATGTCACCACAAGTTGCATTTTAGCTGCAGTTCAACCAATATAAACACCTAATGTCAGCTCAGCAGCTCAGAAACAGAGTCCAAGTATTAATAAACTTGCAGGAAAGAAAGGATGCCAGTTGTCTGGTTCAAGCAAATAGGTAGGTTTAAAATATTTTGAATATTGCAAGTATTCATGTAATATTTCAAGGTCTACTACAAGTGCCTATATTTTACTGCTGAAGTTTTTGCATATTTTGAATAAACAATGGCCAGTTTGGATTATAGCACAACTTCCATTTTCCAATGGATTTGTCATGATTTTTCAATACGGCCCCTTTAGTGGTTGAGTTTGACACCCTTGCTGTATGTAATCCTAACTTCGGTCATCAAAATTAATAAAACACGTAGTGTGTAATTTCAATTTGCGTATGATTGCACGTCTCCATTTTAAAATTTCAATCAAACTTTACATAACTCTAAGTAACACTGGATTATGGGCTAATCATGGAACATAGAAAACTTTTGTGTTGCGACTTCAGTGCTAAGATATGTAGAGCATATATTCTGATTTTAAGCTCATTATAATTTCTTCATGGGCCTCCCCTATCCCACAAAACAAGAAAAGGCTTGAGAGTCATTCAAACTTGGCCCCTGCTTACAAAACGTGTTACGAGCCTTTGAACCGAATTCCAAATGCATATGCACATTCACAAATTCCTTTCCCTCCCCTTTTCGTCCATTATGTTGACAACTGTGGCAGGAGCTGCAACGCAAACAATGGCTGAATAAGAAACTCGGGGGAGGAATTGTAAAGGAGCTGGGAGGAAAAGGGGGCTAGCGGGGCTCCATGAAACGGAGCAGCCTGGGACTCCTTCTTTTGTCTCTATAATGGGAGTTAAACTATCCCTGGCTATGACCACCGCAAGCTCTTTATCAGCATGCAGCACAAACACTCCTTTGTGTTGCTATTAGGGAGGCCACACATCTTTTGTTTAAAAACTGATTGTCATTAGCTGGCATATGCCAAGTTCAAAGTCATATAAACACCCCACCATTTCCAGTTGAACTAGGAAACAAAAGTGCATCTTGTTCACCCCTCCTTCTTGATGGGGCCCAATTGTTGATGACTATTGTTTCAGAACAATATAAGTGTGCCTACTTAATTAAAATATGTAGTTCTTTCAATTAGGTCCAAAACAAATACATTAATCATAAAATATTTTTTTTCTCTCATTTTTTATAGGCTATGGCAACTAATTAGTGCCCAGTCGTGTAATGGTAAAATGCATTTGTTGATTGGATTGTATTAGATGGTCAACACACTCTTTGTCAAAGGCTTGTCAAACCATGAGCCTTTAGCTAGGATCAATAAGCAATATTCTCCAATTGGAATGGGAGGACACCACATGGCTTTGGCCTCTAGTCTTTAGTTACTAAGGTGGGGGCCAACAAAGGGGATCTGGATTTCCATTAAGCCTCAGCCCCATTAAATTGAGACCAGTGTTCCTTCATAACAACAAACTGTGTTTTAGCTTCAAACCTCAATTCCACCTCTTATTAGCTAAAGAAAAGTAAGGAGGAATAATGTCCTTTCAGTAGGACTTAGTCCTTTTGGTAGACCTCTGTATCTAACATCTAGATATCTATGGAGTCTGCGCTTCTGGAATAGCATATTTTTGTGAATTACCACTGTATGGATAGTGTCAGAATGATCATACACTGCCAAGGGAGTCCTAACTGCACTATACAAACATCAAGAAGTCTTTATTACCAAATCAAATAGTTATGTAGTGTCTTCATCAGTAGGGAGAAATTGTTTAATGAAAACAACAAATACACAAATGCCAATAAGGACACAGAGAATGGTTTAATGAGACAGCATTAAGTAAACCTGATCACTCACAACCTCTGTAGTGGTATATCGATAAACACCTATTGGAAATGGGTTCATACAGAGGGGCTTGACCAATGCAAGCTGCAGCTCATCACTAGGGTCCACTACTGTGAGGTCTTTAAGATACAACTAAAGTACATTTACATAGGACAGTTGAGACTAAAATCCTACTCTATGAGTTTAGGTAATGTTTAGAATTTTGGGAAATCTCTGGACCATGTAGGCCTTTAGAGAATGATTAATGATTTTTGTGAAATAAAAATACAAGTCTGTAATTCTTAGGTCATTTTTATTTTAAAATAATCATCATGCTTTTGTATTTAACCTCTGCCAGAATTGTGGTAGTACTTTAATTTCATTGTAAACTTTTGGTTGTAAACAACCTAGCTCTCCTATTGTTTAGACCTTCAGGAGCTGGACTAAAGGCTTAATATGTCAGAATAACAATTAACATAATCAGGAAGTGAGATGTAAATTAACCAAACAAGTTTTGACTTCCAAATGGTGGGACCAATTTTGTGAACAAAAAACATAACTTTAGGCCCTCTGGAAGTGCTAGATACTTCACTGACTGCAAAGACTAATGGTAACCTGACTAATGCTTTGCAGTCAGCTGTTAGAAATGGAAAACAGCAGCTGCAGCTCTATGTCAATTTTCTTTACTGTAAGAGTCAATGGAAAATTGTTAGAGGGTAAAATGTATGTTAAAATGTCTGTTACAGCTTCAATTAAAACATGGAATGTTTAATACAAGTATCAACTGTCTGTGGTTAAACTAGAAGGGCTAAATAAGCTGGGTGCTAACATACTACTAGAATCTTATAGGGGCTCTAGCAGAAATTAGCAATAAATTAGAGGTGTTTCTCATTTTGACTGAGTATTAACTCAAGGTCTAGCTTTATCACAGTTCGCCAGTGATTTTAAGA